AAAGGGTCAACCTTAAAGTGATACCGAATTGTGTAGGGCTTGAAGGAGCAGTGATGTATGGAGAAGAAGTTGTGCTGTCTATCTCCATTAATGGCGTCTTCTCTCTTTGTTTCTCCAGAGATGCTTTTTCAGACGAAAAGCTTGACTCTTTTATCACACAGAGAGAGAGAGAGAGAGAGGATGTTGAAGATATTGAATGAGGAGTTAGCCTTTATAAGTCTTGACCCGTTGTTTGGGTCGTGACTAAATTATTGTAGTTTGTAATCTCGAAGTTGTTTGGACCAATTATATATATATATATATATATATATATAACTTTGTTGTTTTGTTGGTTTTTCCAATTTAGAAAACTCTCTTCGAGATCATATAATCTCTAATTTTTGTTGGAATCATTGATTAGCATTAGGAACAATTTTGTTTTTTGTTTTTTTAAATTTTGGAAAGGTTACACGGTTTTATATTATTATATCAGCTTTGCCCATCTTTGTTTTTTATTTCAAAAAATATTATTCTTCTAAAAAATTAATTTATTTTATATTTATTGATTAATTTTATATGTTTTATATTCAGATATAACAATTTTTTTATATGTAGAAAATAACTTAGCTTTTGATGGAGCTTTTTACCATGTGGGGGTAAAATTTTCAGTTTTAGAAATTATTGTATGAAAATAATATATAGTTTTGAATTTTATATTGGTGCTCCCGTCACATTCAATTGGCACAACCCCGAAAATTTATTCAAAATGAAGATAAGGCAATGAGACAATAAATGAATAGAAACGAAAATTACTAATCTATGGACCTTGTTGAATGGATTTCATTATAATATATTTACCCAAATAATTGTGAATCTGGCTCACTTCTTTTGATGAGTTCAATCTGGTTCGTTTGCATTCCATTCAATTTAAATTAATTTAATTCGATAAAAGATAGACCTAATTCAAATATAAAATGTTTTTCTTTTGCTTGAGTTGTATTTTTTTTTTAAAAAATTAATATAAATATATTTACTTTTCATTTGATTTATTATATTTGATAAAAGTTCAGAATAATTCAATCATTTAAGAAATGGAATTGAAATGAATTTAATTCTTTTAACTCACTTTAATTCAAGTCTTTGATTTATCCAGATTTCTTCTACCGAAATTCTATAGGAAAATTGTTAAATTAGTGCCAAATTAATCTATTTTAATATACTCTTATAAATGATCAAAGCTAGTAAACTATATAATATATTTGGGGATGTTACTTTAATGAAAAGAATAATTTCTACACAGTTTTCATATTAGTTTTGTAACATTTTATTCCAGTATCCTCCATACTACCAATGCCCCTAATGCTAATTTTTTCCCTAACCATCTAGTTCCATAGTAGATTAATTTAAGTTAATCTATAGGTGGTGTGATAAAAAGGGTATATATGGGTTTTTTTCTTCTTCTTTAATTCATATATTAATATCTTGAAAAAATCATGTGAATTCATATATGGCATGATGAGGGATACTCTACGTTACTAACATGCAAACTGTTATAATCCATACTTACATGTGAGATTAAGAAAGTTAAATGACCATTGTCGGTCCATTATTTATTACATAGTTTCATGCAATTAGATGGTTTCCATATTATATAAAATATTTTTTTCGTAATATAGACTGTATAATTTTGCATGTCAATTACTGTGTTTAAATGTAGAATTCGCATTGAAATCGTGTTTTAAGTTTTTTTTTTTATCTACTTCTCTTCTAAAGAGCATATATATACATAGACACACGTGATGATAGGAAAGAACACACTAGTGATGAAGCCAAACACCATGAAAGCGACGGACGCTTCAACCTTTGGGACCAGTTAGAGGGTTTGATTTGATCAAGACACAGAAAAGTGAATGTTCAGTTCTGGTTTTCATGGAAACATACACACCCAAGACTCCATTGGTGGGTTTGTCAGAACCTCAGACATTGCAACATCGAACTGGGTTCAACAAAGAACTCCATGAATGGTGATCCATCTTCGGGCGAAGATGGATGGATGAGCCTGTACTTTTCCTCCGCCCGGTCCGCGGTCTGGTTTAACCCCGCCAGAGAATGAAAACCCGGGTTTCTCATGATGATGATCGAAATAACGAAATCCAGATGAGACGAGTAATCGACAATCAGTGGATAATTGAGAACTGCAACAGAATATACTTGACACTGACAGCATAAATGATGTGCTGAAAACTGAGAAATCTAAGGAAACTGGCAAGAAATGATATCATTCATTGCCTGAGACATTGAAAATGTAACGAAATAACTACAGCAAGCGGCAAAGGTTTTCCGAATTTTGACACCGCAACTCCCAGAAAACCGGGGAAGAACGGAACACCATTCATCGGGATGAAGATGTTTTAATGGAGTAGAAGATTCTTCTTGAATACAAATGAATGAATGGAATATTATCTATCAACTAATCAGAAATTGGAAAAAGAAACCCGGAAAGTAGCAGAGGATTTGCAAAATTGTTGTGTGGCAGGACCAAAACTTTGAGTTGGTGTTAACCCGCCGAGCGAGGCCCCAGCGACAAGAAATGAATTAGAGTACGGCAGAGAGAG